GGGGCCGGCGGCAGCAGCAGCCCTGTGACCTTGGGCAGTTAACTGGCACCCTGGCTTCCTCCTCCTCCTGCCGGCACCCCCGGAGGACCACTGGGAACAACACTCCAGGAAGGCAGAGCACCTAGCTGGGCAGGAAGCCGGGGCCCGCCCTCCTGCTGCGGGAGGGAGGCCGAGGCTGTGAGCCACAAACAGGATTCCTGCCTATGAGGTCATCTGAAGCACGGGGAGCAGTCCTGAATGGAAGCGTCTGGAACTATCAGCTCTGTGCTGGAGCCTTCCTTACGTATGGGGTGGGGAGAGGGCAGCTGAGTGGGTTGGTGGGGGGAGGGGGGGGTCACCTCTCTGTCTCTTCACCTAATCGCAGGGAGGCTCTGACCTCTGCATCTTCAACGGGGAGCAGAGTGCCGCCCTCCCCCGTGGGCTCCCGGCAGCCCCGCCACCCACCACCCTGGGCTGGGAGCTCGCGGATCCGGATCCGGGTCCCTCACGCTGCTGGCGAGAGGCAAGACTCCTCCCCACGCTCTGCCCCCATCTGTCTCAGAGGCTGTCGGGGCTCAGCCCCCGTCTCCTCCATGTCACCCTGCACGTCCCTCGCTGCCACCCCCGGAGGCCCCGCACACGCTCCAGTCTGACCCCCGCCCCCAACTCTTCCTTTGCGCCCTCAGATCTCCGTCGCCAGCAAACCCGAGTCCTGGGCCTCATCCTGGAAACGTCCCCTGCACCTTCCCGTGCTAAAACCTGGCTCTCCCTGAAGACGTTGCTCCCCTGCAGCCCCGCCCGTAGGGGTGCTCTCTCTCCCACCCATCATGCCCCTGGGCCTGCAGCGAGCCCCGCTCGTCAAAACCTCCTTTCCGGGTCGGGAGGACCCACCACCCTCCTTGCGCGGTTACCCAGAGCCCTCCACGGTGCTGCCCCTAACTGCTTAAGGCTCGGGCTCCAGGCTCACAACCCCGGCGACCGCAATGACCAAACAGAGGAGACCCCAGTTCCCTGACCCTGCGTCCCCTCCCCCCACGACCTTGTCCTCCCCCAGCTCAGACCATTCCCACGGCACCTGACCTTGTCCCGTTCAGCAACCGCCATTCCTGCAAAACCCGGACCGCAGACGCTCACCCTGACCTCTCCTCTCCCGCTCGCTTCCCGGGCGTCCCCACCCCAGCCAACTCCAACCACCGGGATCTCGGATCACCTCCCACCCCTCCCACTGTCCTCCTCTCTCGCCATCCTCCTTGCCTGACAAGCCCCCAGAGCGGCTCACTTCCCACCCTCTGCTCACCCTGCACTCGGACCAGGCAGCTGACCGTGGCTGGAGAAAACGGTCAAGGGCACCGAGC